ACCGAACCGGCGCGAACCAGCTGTTTCCCCCACACGAATCGAACTGAACCGGAGTGGTCGTTTTTGAAGCTCGTGCCGAACCGGACCGGACTGGATTCGATTGTGAACCGAACCAGTCCGAACGGGACCGTACCGGAGCATGGAATCCACACCAGGTAGTCGGAAACCGACTCCGAGGCCAAAAAAACTCCCCCTTCGAATTAAGCACATACGAAATCCCACCCCTCCTGGACTTGATAAGCCGCGGAGCCCTCCCTTCCCTGCCCCGCGACGACGCCTCAGACGGAACGCACGACGACCTGCTGCACTTGCACTTCCCCCCCCCTGCCCCCATTTACCCCCCTCCCTGTCCCCCGCTTGCCCCCCTCCCTGCCCCCACTTTCCCCCCTTCCTGCCCCCACTTACGCTGACCTTCCAGAGTGCCAAAAATAGCACTCCACACCTGTAAACCTATCTGGACTGCCTCAAACCTCGACAGGAATTGGAACGTCGATGTCCTGGTGCTATTTTTTAGCCCTCCTGGAAGGTCAAGGTACTCCCTCCCCGCCCCCACTTGCCCCATCCCTGCCCCCGCCTGCCCCTCCCTCCCTCTCGCCACTCACCCCCTCCCTGCCTCCACTCCCTCCCACGGGGGCCAGCCACTCCGGGGCCGCCCTCCATCGGCGGCGCCCACGAGGACGAGGACGAGGTCGAAAGCGAGGTATTGCCCGAACCGGACCGAACCGGAAATAAACTCATGGCGAACCGGGCTGAACAAAATCGAAGGGTCCTGACATCGAACCGAACCGAGCCGAACCGGAAGGGTTCCGACACCAAGCCGAACCGAACCGGACCGGAGGCACTCTGGAACCTAACCGGACCGAACCAGAGCTTTCCTGGCCCGGCTCTTTCACTAAAGCCTTGACACTATCGCCGAGGAGCGTGTCAGTGCAAGTAATTCGGGGGAATCTCCACGAGGACCCCTTCAGTACACACACCGAGTGGAGCATGCGATGCGATGCGATGCGACCACCGTTGCGGACAGCGTCCGGGCCTAGGGCAGACCAGGTGGGTGAGGCCATGGCCTCTAGAATCTGAGATGTCTGGATTCATGCAATGCGAGACAGGTAAAAAGTTAGGAGGTGAAGGGGAGGAGGAGGAAAAGAAAGTCCTTGGTGTCGGTGTCGGCGCGGGTTGTGCGAGATTACGTCATTGGTCTGAGTCCCGGGTGCTGGTCGACGTGAGGTCGGTGAAGTGGTGCTCGAGTGGAGCATCGTGATATCCAGGAGCCTCCGAATCCAGCCGACCAGGGAAGTCGGGCTGGCACCGTCGCAGAGTCCTTACCATCTCCGCGAGGTCTCGGCTCGGAGCTGCAGGCACTGGTTGGGAGATGTCTGCCTCAAGGTGAAGTCTATCATTGCGCACCTCTCTCCGTAGGTCGCTTCTCGTGTGCATCCGAAAAACATACATCATCAGTTCGATATGTGAGCGTTTCTTTTTATTCGGCGTTCCGACATTGGGCGAAGGGGGGGGAGGGGGGGGGTCTGTCTCCGGACCTCTGCTTAGTGCGACTGTTTGGGACCGTGCGTCATCTGGGGGAGACTCCAACCGCTCGAAACAGGTGTCAAAAAACAGCCAAGATCTACTCCACAGGGGGAGGAGGGAGGTGCGAGGGCCCGCGCCGATCGGCAAAACAATGAATAGAAAACGATCACTATGCTCGCGGCTGTTTCCTCTCTGCTATTTTTCACTCTTCTGGCTTAGGCACTTTTCACGTACACTTGTTGCGTTATCGACTCGTTCTGGCTTCGCCTGATTGTTATCATATGTTCACTCGTCAAGAAATTGAAAACGGCTTCTGAAGAACGGATGCGACATGAAATGACAGAAGCAAGGCCAAAATGATGAGTGCACTGGCTTGTCAAGAGCATCGTGACACACTCCCAGGCCTCTGCATGTGAGCCCTAATTACCCCTGCACACCTAGTTTCGAAAACGCCGGCTGAAGGACGCCTGCACTCGGTGAAACCCAGCGGGGGGGCCGATACTCCAGCGTCGATTGGACCCGCAGGCCCAGACATTCGACGCCTCGATTTTCTATAGAGGGCCCCTGAAGTCCAGAACCTTTCCCCAGGGCTGCGGGTCCCAAGAATATACACGACCACCACCTCCACTCCTCCTCTAGCTTCTAGCTCTCTCTTCCTCTACCATTTCGTGGGAGAGAGGTAGGGCGCGAGGGAGGTGGCGGTGGTGTATGTTATCTGGCCCTGTAATGGCCGGCTCATCCTCCCGAGACGCTCGTTGATGGCCCCCTGGGGCTCTGAACGGGGGCCCCCGGAGGCCGGAAGCGGCCAGCAGCCACCCGTCGGGGGGAGGGGCGGCCCGAAGACAGAACCGCCTCCGCCTCTCTCCTCCTCCCCCTCGAGAAGGTGGGCGCCGACTGGAGAGCGACTGCAGGGCAACGGGCGCCCGCAGGCGGAAGGCGAAAGCTGCCGCCGGGGGCAGCAGCAGGCATCGGCCGAGACCCCGGAATACCCGCCGCCGTCGCCGCCGACGCCATCATCCAGTCAGAGTCATCAGAACTCCCGTCCGCCGCCCGCTCCACCCGAGCCTCCACCCCTGGCCATCGCTCGGACGTCCATTCCCCGTGTTCTCTGCGGCTTCGTGCGAGGCTTCTTCGCCGAATGATCAAGGATGCACCTCTCGGTGGTCCTCGCCGAGGGAAACGTGCACACGCCCGAGCGACGCCAAGACCCTCCCGAGATCCGCCTCCTCCCCTCGGAGGGGCACAGACGGCAGGTCAGGCCCCGGGCCGGTCGAGACGGCCCCGACCTCCGACGGAGCTCCGCCTGCGGTCGGATGGCAGGCCGGGGGCCTCCGCCCCCCCCCCACCCCCCCCGCCGGCCGCGCCGGTCATGGCGCCGCTCCTCTGCCTGGGCCCCCCCGCGGCCCCGCCCGCGCGGCCGTCCCCACGGAGTTCGGCACGGGCCCTCCTCGTGCTGCGTCGGCGGGGGCGGTGTCCACGGGCCTTTCGGCCCACCAGCACGGCCACTTCCTTCGCCGTGCCGGCGGCGCCGTGACCCGGGGTGAGGAGGAGGGCGCGCTGCTGGCTCTGCCACAGTCTCGGGTCAGGGGGCGGAGGAGGGTAGGTGGAGGAGGAGGGGGAGGCGGAGGAGGAGGAGGACTTCCTGCCCGACTGCCACTGCCCGGCATTTGACCGTACCCGTCTGGTCGACTTTGCCTGGGCCCCCGCTCTCGCGCTGAGTCTCCGTCGCCTCAGCTCGCACAGGACATCACAGTCCCGGCACGTGTCCTGGTGCTACAATGGAAGCCCATGCCAAGGAACACCCTGCTCGCCTCCGGGGTGCCCCGGGTTCCTTGGACTCCGATGGCTTTGCTACGGAAGGCGCGACGCTCCCACGCCAGAGCTCGGTGGACGCCCCAGGGGTCTCAGGGCTGGGCTTCTTGTGTTTGGACGCCCGAAATGGGTACCGAAAAAATGGGTACAATGCCCAACAGCAAATGTTGTCCCAAGCCGACAGCGGCCGCTGTTGGGCAGGCGGCCTCCTGTCTCGAATGGACACAGGCCGCGGCGGCGTGGACAGCGAGCCCTGTCCAAAATGAACAAGATCCGCTGTTGGGCATTGTACCCATTCTTTCAGTACCCATTCCGCGCGTGCAGATTGTGGAGAGAGAAGGCTCCTTGCGGCAGAGCTCCCGCCGCACCCCTCCGTGGCCAACTTGCACCGCTGCGAGGCCTCCCGCTCCCTGGGCCTCGGCCTCGGCCTCGGCCCTCGGTGCGCCACCGCCGCTTCCTGGAAGGCCGCTCCGAGCGCGCGCCGCTCGCCCTGCCCGGGGCCGTCCCCCCTGCGCGGCCCCCCGGCGGGCCGCCCCTGCGCGGCAGGCCCCCCGCACGCCGCGCGCACTCTCCCTGAAGGCTTGCGCACGGCCGCCCTGCGCCCTTGCGCGAGCAGGGGAACGAGCAACGACATAGACATAGTTGCTTTTCTGCGGCGGACTTTTCCGCCGTGCCCCAGTTTGCTTCGGCGCGCCCCTCCTTCGGCCCGACCAGAGCGCATGACCGCTGCCGCACCTCTGAGCTCGCTGACGCTCAAGAAGGGGCTTATAGAAGTTGGCCTCGACTTCCAGACAACAGGCCTGAGGGAACTGCATGTTTTTTGTTGGCAAGCCGAGCTCGGCTTCCAAAAAAGGCTTCCAAAAAGCTGAACGATCAGCGTGTTCTGGGAATTCGAATTTCCCACTTTCACGAGGCTTCCAAGAAACCACGAGACTGAGGGATTTTGGAAGTCGAGCTCGACTTCCCAAAACATCAAGTTCTCTCAGGCCGCAGATCCAAGACGCTCCGCCCACCTAGCGGAGTCATCCAACCCCCCCAAGCCACCTGGGGCATCTGTGATCCACGTGTAAGCTAAGCTGGGTCAGACATAACCCACCCTGGCATCCGCTGAAAGACCCCTACATCCCCCTCGGCAGCCCCCGCGCCAATCCAAGCAGACCCCCTGGCGTCGCGATAAGAAAAAAGAGTACGGAAAAGTTCTGGTCATGCTCGGCCCTGGAGGGCTCTCGCTGGGCCGCGGGACCGTCACCAACGACTCGGGGCTGAAGAACTGGGCGGTGCGCTCTGACCAGCATCTCGAGGCGAATCCGGCGGTAGTGACGAGGCAAGGATAGCGGTACGGGTACTTTCATTCCTTCTCAGAACCCCCTAGGCCTCGGCATGAAGAACTGGGCGGTGCGTTCTGACCCAAAGCTCGAGGCGAGTCCAGCGGTGGTGACGAGCCTCCCAGGAGACCCGAAAAGGGGAAAACGAAACAAGGGTAGCGGTATTCATCGGTCGGAAGAAGTAAGTAGAAACATGAAGTAGGAAGGCGTTGAAAGCAGATTGGGTTTCGGCCCGCCCCGTAAGAAGGACGGAAAAGATGAAGCCACTCGATCACTGAAGTAGGAAGGCGATCAAAATAGATTGGAATCTGGAAACCAAGAAACACCGCCTTTCAACGACCGACGGGTACGGGTACTTTCCTTCCTTCTCCGAACCCCCTCAGCAACCCCCGCGCCGATGCCAATACACGGGAGGCAGAGGGCGCACAAGCTTCGGAGATCTACTGACCCGGGTCAAGCCAGACCCGGGCCGGCCTGGCCCTGCAAGATCCTGCAAGATCCTGCAAGATCCTGCAGTGTCCTGCGCGCTGGCCCGGGTCAGTGCGCCCCCAGCTCTGCAGGATCCTGCAAGATCCGGCGCTCTGGCTGATCCCGTTTGCATGGACCCCCGTCTCTCATCGGGGAGACATACGGCCAGGATTCGGGTGGCTCTGGTTGGCCTGACGGGGCTACCATGGAAATGATGCGACCCAGTCCGAAATTTGACGCGAAATTCCGCTGCAAACATCCCACGGAAACTGGACCGCCAAAATCCAGGACGCGCTTCTCAAAAGACGTTGGCGAACCCGAGTTCCGGCGTGCTCAAGTCTTCTGTTTCCCCGAGTCTGCAATGACCCTGTCTCTGACATTTGGACGCCCCAAGTGGCTACGGAAAAATGTGTACAAAACCCAACAACAAGTTTTGGCCAAAACCAGCAGCGGCTGCTGTTGGGCAGACGGCCTTCTGTCTCAAATGGACATCGTGCCAGGCGACGCCCACAGTAGAAGAAGAAAAAACGCCATAAACCTAAACTTTTGGCGCTCCGCGCGGATTTCTTGGATCTGCGCTGGAGCCCCCTTCCTGGCGCGCGGAGCGCGCCAGGGGCGCCGCTGGAGGCGCCGCCAGGGTGGGCACCAGCGCGGATCCAGAAAATCCGCGCAGAGCGCCAAAAGTTTCTGTTTGTGTGGTTTCTTCTTTTTCTTCTTCGAGGCAGCGAGTCCTGCTCAAAATGAACTGGGAACGCTGTCGGTCTTTGTACCCATTCTTTCCGTACTCCCAAAGCCCCAGACGTCGCGATTTTTTCGCTTTTCGCAACGTCGACCCCAAAAGTTCTGGACCTCTTCCCAGGCACCGGGTTTTTCATCCTGAGTCGTTTTGTGACGGTCCTGGGGCCCAGTGAGGGCCCCAGAAGGCCGAAAATGTAGAAAACCTACCGTCGTGATTTGTTCACGACGCGAGGGGGTCTGGGCTCGATCGTCTCGAGTACAGCTCCAACGAGGCGCGCCTTGGCCGCCCCGGCAGCGCCGCCCAGGCTGCCCAGGGTCCAGCAGTGGCGCTCCTTGGAGGAGCGCAGGTGCCGGCCCACCTCGCAGAAGGGGGCGGGGGCCGCCGAGGCGCCGCGAGCGCGGCCCGCAAGGGGAGGAGGGCGGGGGGGGAGGGGGAGGGAGGGGAGACCAAGCAGGAGGAGGAGGAGGAAGAGGAGGAAGAGGAGGAGCCCCAGCCTCCTCCTCCTCCTCCTCCTCCTCCTCCTCCTCCTCCTCCTCCTCCTCCTCCTCCTCCTCCTCCTCCTCCTCCTCCTCATCCTCCTCGTCCTCCTCCCTTTCGTCCTCGTCCTGCTCCTCCCCCTCCTCCTCCTATTATTAGTCTTATGTTTATCCAGATTGCCACTACGATGAAAATAATAGCAACATGTCCATTAATAGTAGTAATAGTATTACCTGTGTTGTTATTACCATTATTATTCTTATTCCGAATACGACTATGAGTACTTTAAGTCGTGCGAGGGCCCGCGCCGATCGGCAAAACAAGGAATAAAAGAACGATCACCAGGGCGCCCTGGAGGCAAGCAGGGTGTTTCTTGGTATGAGTCTCTGAAGGGGAACTGGGACACACAAATAAACAGACACTAATAACCCGATTCCCCATATCTTCCCATATCTTCTGGGCTTTGGTCTTCCCCCCCGCTTGCCAGATGCTCCCATTTTGTCGAGGGAATCGACGCTTCATTGTGTCTGTATGTGCTTCTTTCCCTCCTGAGTCTCCACTCGGCTACACGCAAGAGTGACCCTGGGTAAGAGTGACCTTTGGTGCGCGGCTTTTGGGGGGCCGCACGGAGACCAAACCTGGGCGCGCAACCAGCTCCTCACTGCTTCGTTTCCAGCCCTCTGGGGGCCCATCTGTGCCCGCACCAAAGGTCACTCCGGCGAAAGGTCACTAAAACAGGGCTAGGATCGGGATAAATCGCTCCAGAGCGTTCCGGAGCGCTCTCGGAGCGCTCCGGAGCGCTCTGGAGCGGCCGCGGCGCCCAATACCTCCTCCAGACCCGCCGATCCTCAGAGATTTCGAGTCATCCCGCTCCGATTTTGTCCCGATCTTCGCGTCGTTTTAGAGTATGCACGGGGTCGGCGGATCGCGACGCATCGCCGCTGCATCGTCGACGCCGGCGATGCGTTGGCGCCGTCGACGTGGAGAAAAATCTGGGGGTGCATAGGCTCCTCACTGCTTCGCAACAAGCTCCTCACTGCTTCGTTTCCAGCCCTCTGGGGGCCCATCTGTGCCCGCACCAAAGGTCACTCCGGCGAAAGGTCACTAAAACAGGGCTAGGATCGGGATAAATCGCTCCAGAGCGTTCCGGAGCGCTCTCGGAGCGCTCCGGAGCGCTCTGGAGCGGCCGCGGCGCCCAGTACATCCTCCAGACCCGCCGATCCTCAGAGATTTCGAGTCATCCCGCTCCGATTTTGTCCCGATCTTCGCGTCGTTTTAGAGTATGCACGGGGTCGGCGGATCGCGACGCATCGCCGCTGCATCGTCGACGCCGGCGATGCGTTGGCGCCGTCGACGTGGAGAAAAATCTGGGGGTGCATCGGCTCCTCACTGCTTCGCAACAAGCTCCTCACTGCTTCGTTTCCAGCCCTCTGGGGGCCCATCTGTGCCCGCACCAAAGGTCACTCCAGCGAAAGGTCACTCCTACGTCTAGTCGATCCACGGCACTGCCCGCGGCTGCCCTCGCCGGCCAGGCGGCCCCGGCGCCGCACGCGCGGCCAACCCCTCCCGCGCGCGCTTCGGCGCGCCGTCGGGCCGCGGAGGCCTCCGCGCCGCCTCCTCGGCGGCGGCCCCTTTCGCGGCGAGGCCGCCGAGGCTCTCGCGCTGCCTGCCTTTGGGAAGGGGCCCCGGGACACACCAATAAGTAGACACAAATAAAAAAAGCTTCCCCCTGTTTTCCCATACTTTCTGGGTTTCTGTCTTCCCCCCCGCTGCCCACATGTTCCTGTATTTTCTGAGGAGTCGAGGATTAACTGTGTCTGTGTGTTTTTTCGTCTCCTGCCTTTGGGAGGGCGACGCCTTCGCGGCTGGGCTTTTTGGTTGCTCCCCTCGCACTCGAGGGCCACAGCCCAGAACAATAGGTTCGAGCACCCCGTAAAAAGTATCGAGACGGTATCGAGGGAGACTCGCCTCCCGGGGCCAGGGGCGTCGGAGCTCTCCAGTTCCGGTACCTTCTTGGTGCTCGAGACTCTTGCTGGTGATCCAGGCCCAAGTAGGCTGCAGCGTCGCAAGGCTGGGTGAACAAGGTTGAGCCTGCCTCGGCCCTGGAAGCCCCATGGCTCCACAGGTCCAACACCACGCTTGGCCGTGCACAAGGCGACCCAGTGGGTGCGCTCGATCGGGCCTTGGGGCAAGAGCGCGCAGTACTCCACCGCACCTCCAGCTCGTCCACGCTCGGCGGAGGGGAGGGACACGCACCGTTGCCCTGTAACCCGTCGGGTGCGCTAAGCACGCCTGTCAGGGCACTTCCAGCAGTGGATGCAGGCCCATCGATTGTCCCACCTGCGATGCATTGGGAGAGGCAGGAGGAGGGAGGAAGGAGGGGGAGGGAGGGTGGGGAGGGAGGGAGGAGGGAGGGAGGGAGGGAGGGAGGGAGGGAGGGCGGGCGGGCGGGCGGGAGGGAGGGCGGGAGGGAGGAGGAGGAGGAGGAGGAGGAGGAGGAGAAGGGAGGCAACGGGAAGGAGGAGGGAAGAAGAGAGGCAAGAGCAGTGAAAGAAAGTGCAGTGGTGGGGGCGCCCGGAAAGAGACGAGCCGTGCGCCTTGATGCTAGAACGGCGAGGGAGTACGGCCGAGGTGACCCAAACATCAGACGTCTTGATTTTTGCAACACGGTCGGGTCGGGCATGTCCTCCTACAGGCGGACTTTGGAAGAAAACAAGCATAGTAAGAGAAACATTCAAATTGTAGAGAAATCGTCCCCAGACTAGTTTTGGACTAATTTTGAATCTTGCTCCTGTTGAGGGACATGCCCGACTTAACAGTACGGGGATTTCTGGGAACCCTCTCCCCAAAGGCCGGCTCTGCATCGCGCATCGCCGTCTGACGGCCGCCGGGGGCCCACCCAGGGCCCCCCGGGAGGCCGAGAGCGGCCAAAAGCCTCTTGTCGCGATTGCTTCACTTGGCGGCGCGCGCCAGGGGGTAGGGGGGGGGGGGGAAGGCTTCTTAGAAGCACCCCTGCCTCTCAGAAGGCGCCGGCCTCACGTGCATATAGAGAAGGCCCGCGCCTTCTAGGGAGCACGGGTGTTTCTAAGAGGCCTTCCCCCCTCCCCCCCTGCCCCCCCCCCCTGCGCGTGGCTGCTTCACGACGCAAGCATGCTTGGGCATGGTGTGATCACCACACCGTGCGGGGGCGCCTGAAGCTGGGCGGGCGAGGAGGCGAGCCAGGGACGAGGGCCGGGCGCGGGGGCCGAGCGCAACCTGAATTTAGGTCGGGCGTGTCCCCCTGCGGGCGCATTTTGGACGCAGCTTGGACGAAAATCAATCAAGAATGGCCAAAAATGCTCAAAAAATCGTCCCCGTACTATTTCCTCCTATTTTTCAATAAACCTCCTGGAAAGGGACTTGCCCGACTTAAACTTGGACAATTGACTGCTGTCAATAAGTTGGACGCATGGGGAGGCGAAGAAGGCCGCCTGCTCCATGGCGTACTGGATCGACGGGGCGGAGCCCGCGCTGGCCCGCTCAGCGGCGCACCGCATCGATGGGGTGGTGCCCGCGCAGGCCCGCTCCACGGCGCACCGCATCGACGGGGTGGTGCCCGTGGTGTCGATGGAGTGGAAGCGCTCGATCGCCGCGGCGGGGACCTCCGAGCAGAGAT